GGAGATAACTTACAATACTGCAAAAATAAAATGTGAATATTCTGAAGCACTTCTGATGATACTGACGGTTCAGAAAATATTGGTAAATACAGCTTTGAGCTTCACCTGATGATTTCAATGAGCCTACTATTTAACTCTATTTTTTTAATTAATTGGGGGAAAAATAGTACATTAAGATAAGAAGTATTTTTAACAAGATATTACTCTGGTTTTGCAATTTCTTTTATATGTTCTAACATTAAATCATGGAACAAAATTGCTATATGGAAATACATGCTATTGAGAACAGAATTTGTTTCTTTGGCCATTGTACATATATACAGAAAAGTGTGAATAATTTGTAATGCCTTCATGCATCTCTCTCTGTAGAAAAATATTTTTAGTTCTGTTGTGCTGTAAATATAAAAATATGTAGATTTATGAGGAAAATTGGAATGCAAACCTAAGGAAAAACAAGCTTCTATATAACAAGTTTCACTGAATTTTTACTTTTGTACAATATTGTATGTAGAAACCAAATACTGCTGGTTTACAGAAAGGAGCAAGTAAGTTTTAAATAGGTGGTGGGTTTGGTGTTGTTTTGGAGGTGGGTTTTTGTTTTGTTTTACATATGAAGAAACCAATTAATCTTCTGGAAAACAAACAAACAAACAAACAAAAAGCCCTGTAGGCCATTTAGATTTTTTTGTGTTGTTTGAAGTTTGAATTTTCTCCTCCACTGCACTTTAATCTCATTTGTAATCCCTTGAACCCCTTGATCAGTTCCTTAATGGCTTGCATTTGTCTCAAACACCTTGATATTTTTATTTCTGATAAAAAGCCATATCTAATGAATGAAAGTGTGAATAAACATTAAGAAATCCCAATGAGTTCCTTGCCCCTATGGAGACTACTTCTAATTTTAGCATTGGAAAATTTTTTCCAGAAAGAGACATGTAGGAACAGTTCACCTTCCTTTGATTTCTTTCTTCTTTTCAATACTATTAATGTTCATGTGTTTTGCTGTCATAGCTTCTTAGTAACTATGATTAGTTTGCAGTGGGATTTTTCTCAGCTTAACTCGGTTCTGATGTGTGAGAAGCTGTTTGAGAGATGATGTGATGTGGGAAGGAAAGCTTGCTCAGCTTGCTGAGGTCAAATGACAGATGCATTTTGAGTACAGTCATACGATGGGATGGTGGAGAGGCATGGGTATCTGACAATGAACCTTATCTTTCAGTAGGAGCTCTCTAAGCTTTTGAGGATCACTGAAAGTATGGGTTTGCCTGCAGCAGGATAACCTTTTCCAACCAGAAGGAAGATGCTGCCCTCTTAACGCATGAAGTATCTGAGGCACAAAGTGGGCTGGGAGAAATGAGTCACCTTGTGCCAGAGGGATGAGACATGCTAGATCTGCACCACATAGACATTAGGAATAAGATACTAGCTCTGTATTTTACCTGCCTTTAGTTCAGTGGCTAGCTGTAAGGAGAGGAAGAACTGAAAGCATGGGGCGCCTGTAAGTACAGATTATCGTTAGTCCTCAACCTGGTAGGGAAAAATCTCTGATCTGTGGTCTTTTCTGCTTTGATCCATTTGAGGAAATGTCCATTTGCCACAAATATTTGCACATCAGAAGTTGTATTTTTGCTTCTGTGTTCCTTAGGTCAATGAATATTAATAGCACAGAATAGCACCATTTTCCTCAAAGATCTTTTCTGGTTTTAGAACTTCTAAATATTTTATGGCTCATACTTCTAAAGCAGCCAGTTCCCAGTAGGCTAAAAAAAAACCCAAAAGAGGAAGAACATGTTTATATAAGAAAGACACCTCTATCTAGAATTTGTACCTGTAAGTCTCGCTTAGTGGCATCTCCCACAAAAAGAAGATTAATTTTGCAGAATTGTCACTGGGAACTCCCTCTATACTTTAACCATAAATTGTGAAATGAATTATGAAAACTGCTACTTCTGGTAGCTCAATTCTGATTGATCTGATCAGCCCTTTCTGAAAACTCAGTTCATCACCAGTGTGTGTTCTGAAATCGAGGGTGAGTGTCGCATCCCCTGAGAGACTGGTTGGACTTGATGATCTTAAAGGTCTTTTCCAACCTGGTTGATGCTATGCTATGATTGAAATAATTGTGGTGTATATTTTTACAAAAATGGGACTTGAAGATGAAAGTAAGAAAATTTTATGTTCCTGTACACTGGTTTTCTTAAAAATTCCATTTGTACAACCTGAAGTGGTCCCCTCCATTGTTTTGTGGTTGGTTTGGGGGTTTTTACCCTTTTTTTTTTTTTAGGGTATTTTTATTTTTATTTTTTCCCCTCATCAGTTTTTAAGTATTTCATACAATTCGTGTTTCCTATCTAGCTATTGCTGACTGGCTCTGGGCTTCAACACAAAGCTGATTTCAGTGCCAGGGAATGTTCCTAGGTTTTCAGTTTGGTAGTAGCTGAGTAGCATAATTGTTTTAGAAGATTAACCTTCATAGTGAGACAGATGGAGCTGATCCAGCCTACATGTCTGCTATGGAGGACTAGCCAAACACACACGATAGCCACACCAGAGTACTACAGTCTCTTAGCAACTGTCATCTACTGATGGCCTTGCCTGATAGGGAATGAAGAGATTGTTCTCTCCCAGCATCCCTTCAGAAAAAACTGTGGGACATGAAAAAAATGAACAGACGACTTATTTTCTTTTTAGGAGTTACTTCTGTGCTTGTTTTTTCTTTCCACTCTGAAACACTTCTTATTGCTTCTCTATTTTCCAGGATTTCTGGTTGAATGATTCCTTTTTCATTTGTTGTCTTTTTGTTTTGGTCTTTTGGTTGAGTATGGTATGTTGCAGTGAAGGTGTCGTCTATTGTGGATATTCTGCGTTGCTGGTTTGAATTGCACATATATGGGGAGAAACATGTGACGCTTCAGCAGCTGATTTTGTTTTTCATTCACAGGTAGTTGTTTCTGGCATTAGAAAGTCCATTCCTCTAACTGAGAGAGAATTAGCAGAGTGTGTTTCCCAGCAAACAAAACACAGGAGACTTGACCAAAACCTAGCTTTAGATCCCACTCACAAAGAATGCACTTGTTCAATGATGTAGAATGCTGATATTCCCTGCTGGTTGTGCTGTATGGTTTTACATTGTATTTATCTGTTTCTTCCCTGCCTGTGAAATTTCCAGAGTTCTAACCTTTACCCCCACTTGTATTCTGGAGTTCTACACTGCGGTAACTCTTTTATACTAATAGTTCTTGATACTCAAGCTGTTCCTCATTCTTGCATTGTAATACATGTAGTGTACAGCCCAACTACACAGAGAAGATGGTGTGAACTTGAAGTAGGGTGAGAAGTTAAAGCAGAACAGCTATTCCTCACTGAATGCCTTTGTTTTTAACTTAATCCATTCATAATGTGGATGGAATACTCACTGCATGTAACTGTCCACATGATAAAGATCTATGAAGTCACTACTCCACGCTGCTTCTCCATATGAACAGTTTACTTGTTTGTCTCTCCAGCACAGCCGACAACAAATAATCCTGAGATATCACGTTTTACATTGTCATGGTCCAATTTTCATTCTTTATCATTCTAATAGATCCATGGTTGGAGCCAGCAATATCTGAGAGGACTGATTATACTGCAGCCATAAAAATTCTCTTTCACTCTTGACCACCTCTCTTTGAATCTTTCGATTCCCTATCAGTTTTTTAAAGTTAATGCTTCTTGTTCTTTTCAGGTTATTAAAAATTCTATTTGTTAGAGTATTTTGTCTAGAATATTAATCAACTCTGGTCTTCTCTATCCTTGATGGGAAAAATATCACAAATTAGTTCCTCAAGTGGCATTACCATTACACTGTCTTGGCAGAAATTCACCTCTCAGATGTTTAATTTAAAAATCTTTGCATGTTTCCTTGCACGACCAAAACTGACTGAAGAGCCAGTGATGCGTATCAAGGGGCATATACTTTTGCTTACCTGAGTTCAATTGGAAGCTTAATTTTGTTTTAAGAATTTTTCTGTAGTTTCTTTGCCACAGATTTCTCTTAACTGTATAACTGGGAGGCAGTCACCCTTGTGCTGATTTCAATTTAGTTTAAAATGAAATCATGAAGACTTCATAATTTATTCCTGCAGTTTTGTCAGCTCAACAACATGTAGGCCAAAACTGGAAATGTTAAAGAATCTGACAATAATTTGGTGCGTATCCCAAAGCATAAGAAAGGATATTCTGTAAGAGATGACAGGAGGAACTATGTACCATTCATTCAGTCTTTAATGAATGTGTTGTCACTCCTTGGTCTCCTCACTAGTCCTCTTTTGCACTTCTACTATGCTTGCATTTAATTAAATGCTTCTGTTACCGAAAATCTTCTCATATTTATGTTATTAAATCACTAACAGTTTAAGGAAATTTCTCTTTTTACTAGAAAATATTTAATTTTGCTGAAATATGTCAGACTTCAGTACTTTTAAGCTTGACAAAGTAAGAAAAAGATTTAATTTTTATGACTTTTTTTTGAAGTATACTCAAGTTTTTAAGTGAATTTTTAAAAGAAAACTAATCAAAGGCCACAATTTAATATGGGCTGTCTTCCATTTCTTACAAGTTTAGAAAACTAAAACCTTAAACCTTTTTTAGATTAAACTGGCAGCGATGCATGTGAAAACCTCTTGTGTTGCTATTCTGTCACCAAATAGGTTATCACACTTAGAAAACTGTCTTAATTTGCTTGGGTCAATAATTCTTCATAATATTTTCTTAGCAGTTTACATTAAAAAGTTTAAGCATTTCATTTCATTGCATTTCTCACCAGCCTTAACTGATACAATTTTATTGCCAAGTTTAAAACTAGTAATAGACACACTATTATTACATCCATAGTAAGTCACATGGTGAGAGAAAATCTCTTTTAGAATTTAGAATAAGTAATCTTTTTCTTTGCTACCAGTAAGCGTATTACTTAGCTATATATTCGTTCTGTAACTGAGATTTGTTGTTTGCTTTAGAATCTCGTCCTTTGTCACTTCCTGTGAAAATCATGCTGAACTCATCTGAAAGCTCCAGAAGTCCTGAAGAAAGAATGAAGGAATTTATTGGAATAGTGTGGAATGCAGTTAAGTGCCTTACACTTCAGGTAAGATGAAAAGGAAGTGAAAAAACCCGTATGTCTTTCCAAACTTTATGATTCTTTTTATGCATCCTAGCACTTTTTATTAGAGGGTTTTTAAAGGAGCTCCCGAGTTTTATTGTCTTATTTCAGTAGTTTCAAAATCTTAGAGAATGAAAAATAAAATACAGATTTTTTGTGAATTAAACAAAGAATGCTTTGGTTTTAGAATATTAGTTTTTGAAATAGTTTTTTATATCTAAGAGGGAAGATCCTTAAGAATTAAATGAAGAAAAAATGCTTGTAATACTTTTCTATATTATAAACAGACATATGCACCTTTTTATCCATGGTTATATTTTCAGAATACCTTCCTTCCTAAAAGAAATTGAGGAAAGTGTGTATGACAAACACTTTCTTGGGGTGTATGATACAATGATGTTATACAGTGACGTTTCAGCTGCTTGTCTACCTTTTCATGAAGGACAAGTAGATGGCAACTTGAATTAAACCTTTTTGTCCTAGATTCTTCTAGATTGTGATCGCTGATGAGTAAAAATAGAGCAGTATATATGTATACTATAAACAAAAAAGGCCATGTTTGAAGTCCAGTGTTAAGATTACATGAACAAAAACTAGCTGGCTTTGAAATGCTAGGATTAAGATTCTGTTCTTCCAAGTATGAATCAAGTGCCTGCTTAGAAATTACACTAACTTAGAATTATTTTAATTTGTGCCTTCTGAACAGTACATTCTTCGAGACTGGTATTTTATGGTACACCAGCGTATAGTAGCAAAACTGGTTTTGTCTTGAAATAAAATTTAAAAAATACGACCCTTTATTTCTGACAGAAAGTAATTGTTGAATGTCTGTTCCTTCTTGCTACCAAGACATACATTTATTATATACAGTCTTATCCCAGAAACTGTCTGTTTTATGCCTCTTTCATGCAGGAAGTACTTTGGGTTCAAAATACTAGAAATTCTGAAACTTTTAAGCTTTGCCTGAGCAAGAACTTCAGATTTGTGACTTGATTGCAAAACATACTGGACTTGAGGAGATGCTTTCTCTTACCTGTTTAGTTTTCAGCCAGTTCATTCATCATTTCATGAGTTTTTTGTTCATTTTCCTTTCTTTCTTAATGTTGTCAGCACTGGAGATTAAAATGGCTAGATAAGGGGAGTCCAGAGGGATACTTTTTAAGCTGTTTGAAGAAAGCAGTGTATTTTTGTTATGTGTCTGGGTGGTGCCTATCACAATTGGACTTCTTATCTAAATGAGGCTTACAGTTTGAGGATGCTGGGGAGGAACTCTTCATGAGGGACTGTAGTGGTAGGACAAGTGGTAATGGCTTCAAACTTAAACAGGGGAAGTTTAGATGAGATATAAGGAAGATGTGCTTTACAGTCAGGGTGGTGAGGCACTGGAATGGGTTGCCCAAGGAAGTTGTGAATGCTCCAACCCTGGAGATGTTCAAGGCCAGGTTGGACAGAGCCTTGGGCAACATGGTTTAGTGTGAGGGTTAGTGTCCCTGCCCATGGCAGGGAGGTTGGAACTAGATGACCTTAAGGTCCTTTCCAACTCTAACCATTCTATGATTCTATAATAAAAATAATAATATACTAATGAGGATGCTGAAGAGCTGGTCCTTTATAGATGGGGGAAATTGAATCAGATCTGAGATATTCTGCTTGTACATTTTTTTAAGGTACGCTTCCTTACGTGAGCAACCAACAAACTGAATTTGTTTCAAAGAATCTTTAAGATACTGACCAACTAAAAATGAAGTTGGTCAGTTACCAAATAAAAACAAGCAAACAAAAAAAGGTTGCACCCCAACTAGCGTCTGTTGTGGAAATGAAAGCTGGTAACAGTGATAGACACAGGTTTTCTCAGAGTAATTTGTAAATATATTGCTGCTCTTACATAGTGTAAACTCATGGGTTAGAATTAATACAGCTAGTATGGGCAGGGGATTTTTGTATTAGATACTCTTTTTGTTGTTTGAGGTTCTAGATCTATTTGCTCTTTACAGCTATTTTTGGTAACATACTCATGCTTTCAATTTTCATCAACATGAATATGAAATCATATTTTTAGTTTCTATGTTGAAATTAAAATGACCTTATGAATTCATACAGCTTACACACTTCTGATATGTTTCATCCTTATGCTTTGGTCATAATGGGTAAAGTACATGCCAGGGTCTTGCCAGAAGGATATTACATGTTGCCAGTGAAAAGTTTCAACAGACTCCAAGGAAACGCCAGAGACGAAGTCCAAGAACATGCTGCCAAACAAATATACAGTGGTCCTTCTTGGTGAAATACGAAGGATTTATAGATATGCTTGCTGTTCTTTTTATTATTCCTAGTAGTCCCTGTGGCTATTTTATCTAAGTACATTTTTTCAAGACATAAATGCACATATATAGCTTTTTACCTTCAATATAAGCCTAAATGGGAAAGCTGAAATTTGTGCAGGGCAATGTATAGGGGATAAGATGATGAGAATTATGACTCTCTTTTTCAACTCAAGAACAGTATATTTGTTTTATTAAACATAATACTCATTTTATTAAACACATAAATATATTTTTATGTTAAATTCGTCCTGATTTTCTGTGTTTTAATATAATTTGGCATGAAAAGGCAAATTTGTAGAATGTTTTGTCTGGTTATATGCTGAGGACTTAGACTCTAAGTTTTTTTCTAAAGCTATTTTCATGTTCCTGGATCTTTTATTAACACGATTGTAGAACAGAAAAGTCTGTAGTTGTCGTCAGATAAAACAGAACTTCATAACTTAAAATCATCAAAGGATTATTCTTTTAGTGGAAGTTTGAGTAAGTAGATGTGTTTGGAACCAAAGTAACTGGAAAGTTTATTTTGGACTCAAAGCTGGTACTTGCTTAGCCTTAGCCCTGGCTTGCTCAGGATAGAATATTGCATGAAGATTTTGTGCATTAGAGTTGTGGTAAGCTATTAGCATTTAAGTGAAAAGACTTTCATACTTAACTATAAAAATTTGTTTTTATTATTTAGTTGTTGTAGGATTTTATATGCAGCCTTGAAGTCTTCTTGGCAGTTGAACCCTGTAGGAGGGTAGTGCTCACTTTTCACGTGTTCTTCATACTAATAGTTGCTAAAATTGTGGAGCAGTATAAACACAATTATTTTTAATTGGTTGTTAATGCTGAATTCCACTGAGAACAATGAAGGATCTGTATTAAAAGCAAATGAATTAATGAGTAATGTTGCAATGAATGCCAACTAAATAAGAGAGTAATTATTACATGTAAAACTTAGATATTCCACATGCCTTTAAATATCCCAGAAATTATTTGAAAAAATGAGTCTGTTTCCTGAAATTATTGAAAATAATATTTTCTTTAAAGCATAACTTTTACGTAATTTTAGTCAGTGGAGCACTGATTGGAAGAATAGAAATGAAAGGATGGTGTTGACTAGAGTTCCTGGTCTTTGAACAGTACTCTTCATTCATGGGTTAAGAAGAGATTCTGTGACTTGTAACTTAGCAGTTACACCTATCAGTAGTTATTCAGCAGTTAGGAGAGAGGATGATTTCTTAAGTTGTTTACTTACCACAAACTGACAAAAAATTATATTTTCTGCTGCTAAATAAAAATTTTTTAAATCAAGCTTTCTTAGAAAAGAATAGGAATACTGTGTAGAGCTAAGACATTATGTTTTAAGTGGTCAAAGAAAATGCAACTGATCCTTACTTATACTCATTTGTATGGACAGGTAGTCTGCTCTCTCAGTTCTGTCACTCATGTGCTCTGCTTTCCATTTATGTAATTTGCACTTTTTGTCTAATTTCAAAACACAGATCTCTGTCTTGCCTTTTTAAATTCTAACACACAGCATGTGTCTAGCTCAACTGCAGATAGTCTAATTTGGTAGAGCTGATTTGGATGTCAGAGGCTGAGGTATGGTCATACAATAATGACCACACCAGAACCCCTACATGAGATGTGTAACGGTGGCTCTTTGCAGTTTTGGGAGTCATTGAAAGATTACATTCTGTACCTGAAACTCCCAGAAAAACATATTCCCCTGTCTGCCGGGAGCATGATTAATGCAGACAGATGCCACTTCTCAGGAGACACCTTCGTGTGAGTGTCACTTGTGGGTCAGCTTTAATGCCTTTAATTGGTTTATAGCTATAAAATGTGGGTTTGGGAAGGGAATCTCCTTATGGTATCACTATTGTGAAAGGCTGTAAAGACTGTTGTATAACCTGTCCCTCTTCATTGCACTTGCACAGGGTAACTATGGCATGTCACTTGTTTTGTTTCACTCCCTTCTGCTCACCCTCCTCAGTTAGGAAGACCTGCAGTATATAGTCATTGTTGTCTCTACTGAGCTACATTCTCTTTTTATAGAATATGAATTAAAAATACCCCATTTATTCCAGTAACTTAATGCCTTCTGTACAAAAGTCTTAAAGTCAGTGCACTTTTTTAGGCTTATGTATTAGTAAAAACTGAGAGCAATATGCCTTGTGCAACATTTTAAAGGTAGAAGGGAAAATACTGCTTACATCATTGGTTTGTCATTAGCGTATGTTACTTAGCATGTATAGGCCTTGACATAATAGAAATGAAAATAGGGGGTGATTCTATTTCAAGAATTTGTAATAATTCCTTCTCTTTAACACATGAATGTGTTCAGTATTGGCAAAAGAACACGTTGCTACCAAAACTGAAATAAGATCCTTGAAACAGAAAGGATGTTGCCATGGAAAAATGAAGTAACACTCAGTGCAGCTGCGAAGCATTAATGAATAGGATATTTTTTTAAAAGATCATTTGTGTTTGGTGTGGCTTGGAGGGTCCCAACCAGATGGTTTCCATGAATAGGATCTGACCCCCAGCTTGAGGACTTCTTACTGGCAGATTACTTAATTTTCTTTCCCTTGGATTGTCAGATCCTTACATTAATGCAAGATTTACTGCTGCAGATTTATATTCAGTTACATAAATCAGTCACATTTTACATTAAATTCACAATTTTAGACACACCGTTTAACAGTTATTTAAAAAGTGTAAAAAGATTTATATGATAGCTTTAATATATGCTATTGATGTAGTTTAATTTTAAGAATTTGGATTACACATATTTTAAAGCGCTCTCCGATTGGTGAAACGATCTGTAGCACACATTCTCACTTTTGTCCAGCATATAATTCCATCATTTTAGGTGCACTCTTCCATTTCTTCACTGGAACTTGTTATTAGACAGATCTCCAGATTCTGTCAGATAAATGTACGTGCATACCATTGAAGTTGATAGTTGTGTGTCAGCAGAATCTGCCTCTGAGAAGTTCAACAGGTGCAATTCAGTTTTGCACTTACTGGGCCCTTGTGCATCCAAGTTTGCTGTTTCTTATGTAATTATAATAATTGCATGACTTGCACTAAGATGTGGAATTTTGCCACATTCATTGTACTGGCCTTAGAAATCCTGCAGTAATGTTTTGCAGAATTCCTTTATTTGTATAAAAATTTAAATGAAACACAAGTAAGCAAACCATGTCTGTAAGCAGATCTGTAATATTACATATGGAGGGCCTGATGCACTCATGTAAACCCCACCACAAGTCATGGTTCAACTGCCATTAAGTTGTTTGAAAATGAATTGCAAGGTAGCTGCCTATTGAAACAGGAATTTCCATTAGGCATTTGAAGGAGTGAAACTGTTGTGATTCCACTTAAATATTCTTGATATGGCAAAGTAAAATACAACAAAAATGCTCTAATGAACTTTTCTTTGGTACAAAGCTGTACTGAACTGTAAAATCACATGTAGAAACTTTGCTTAGAGTATTGAGTTCTCTTCTCAAGAATACTCAGTAAGACATCTCCTGTAGATCCTGCTGCTGGTAATGTGATGAAGTATAGTATCTCTTCAAGCTGGTGGAATTTTTGGGTTATTATTTCCACATGGTTTGTGGAAGCATTTAATGTTAATTGTCATGGATATATATATGAAGAATGGATGATTTGTTATAAACTGTTTACTCAGCAAATGCACAGATAAAACAAAAGTTACACTGATCGTAAGTTCTCTTGTCATCTATTTATCATTATCCCACAATGGCTTGACCTGCAACCTATTACTAATAGACCAGAAAACGATCTAATGTGTCACTGTAAAAATCTTTGCAAATTGACACAATGACTAATTTACCTTTCCAAAAAAATAAATCCAAATCTATTACATCTGTAACAATACACCATTGCTTTTCATCCAGTATAAATAAAGTACACTCTGCAACCTTGGATCAATAAACTACTTATCAAAGATGTAATTAACTTCATTTTACAACTCAAACAGTTCTAAAACTAGAAACAAACACAGACTTCATATAACAATGTATTTATTTTTGCAAAATTCTACTTATATTTTTCTACAGTGAATTCTTGTCAGTTTGTCTAAGCAAAAGGGCACAAAAATGCTGAAATAAAGATGAATATCTGTGTTCTCTTCACTAGGCTGGCAAAGTACTTATGGTGCTGGGGAATTCCAGCTCTATTGCAAATCACTATTGTGGTCTTGGGGGACTATTAGCCTTCAGGGGAGGGTATGGAGTACAAACCTTGGTTATCAGCTTTAAGCTGTGATGTCTTCAATGATGTCAAATCAAAAGACGCTGTTGCGTAAGTTTACAGCAAACAAATGTTCTTTTGTCACAGCTACAAATAACATCTTGTGTCCAACATTTCGTACACTAGGTTTTTCCAAACAATATGAAGACATGAACTGAATCATAGCTTGTACTTGCTTAATAAACCATTCAAGTGTGCAGGCTGTTAGGGCTATTTGATATCCAGGTGCAGAATATTACATGTAAGAGCCAAGTAAGACTAACAGAGGCTGCACATTACACTGCCTCCGAGTTAACAAGTTGTGGTGAGTTCACTTCTTGGTTTGGGTTCACTTGGCCTTGCTAGAAGCTCACAAGGAGATGGCAGAATGGTCAGAAATGTTTCAGGGTAACAGCACCACTTGAAAATAAAGAACAAAAAAAGTGCAATTTCACATGAAGCTGTATGTACGACTTCTGATTTGCAATGAAAACAGGAGAAAAGCTATATAAATTTCATGAACTTTATTCGTTTCTCTCTTTGATAGAATCATAAAATGGTCTGGGTTGGAAAAGACCTTAAGATCATCTAGTTCCAACCCCCGTGCCATGGGCCAGGATTCCTCACACTAGAGCATGCCGCCCATGACTCTGTCCAGCCTGGCCTTGAACACTGCCAGAGATGGAGCATTTGCCACTTCTTTGGGCAACCTGTTCCAGTGCCTCACCACCCTCACAGTAAAAAACTTCCTTATATCTAATGTGAACTTCCCCTGTTTAAGTTTGAAGCCATTACCCCTTGTCCTACCACTAGAGTCCCTAATGAAGAGTCCTTCTCTAGCATCCTTGTAGGCCCCCTTCAGATACTGGAAGGCTGCTATGAGGTCACCACGCAGCCTTCTCTTCTCCAGGGTGAACAGCCCCATTTTCTCAGCCTTCATATGGGAGATGCTCCAGCCCCCTTATCATCTTTGTGGATGTATGCACCCATTCATTTGTTTTAAAGTCATTTTTTCACTACAGTTTATATTTTTCCTAGTTTACCTGATGGTCAGACTTTTTGTACATACTCATTACTGTTGACAATGTAAAGATGGAATTTTCCCTGAAATAAGTCTTAAAAGAAGTCTTTATAGAAAGTAACAGCATATAAAATGTTGGGTAGCCCTAGAGGCTTAGCTATTGCTAACAAAAGCTAATGAACTACAAAAAGAGAAGGCCTTTCTCAGCTTTATTGTGAGAACATATTCTGACTCAATTATGCTTCTTGTAAAAAGCTGTTGAAATGTGGGTAGGAGTATGTTCTGTTCATACGGTAATACCTTTCTGATCAAATTTACAGACCAAAATCCCACTTCTTCCCTCCCCTGCCGTAATCATACTTCATGAGAATATATTTTTTTCCAACATTTTATACCATCTTTCCTCTTAATTCAACTAAAAGCTAAGACTGTTTTCAATGAACTGTGATAGATGGGTAACTTGAGGTTTTGTACCAAGATGAATACTCCACACTGGGCAGAAAAAAATGGTGCTCTGTTTCTGAGGAATTGTTCTTGGTTTTGTTTTTTCAGCTTGAAGTGCAATCTTGTTGTGTATTCCTTCCGAATGATAGCCTGCCTTCCCCAAGTACGATTGTATCAGGTGACATTCCTGGGACTGTGCGAAGCTGGTACCATGGGCAGACCACTATGCCTGGCACACTTGTCGTCTGCTTGCCCCAGATAAAGATTATGAGTGCTGGACACAAACACATGGAACCATTGCAGGAAATCCCATTTGTTGTGCTAAGACCAATCCTGGAAGAAGGTAGTGTGATAAACTCAAATAAACTTATTCTTTAATTTCCAGGTTTTACTGTTATGCAAATTATCATCACTTTATTTTGAAAACTTCTGGTGCTATGCGGCTTTTTTAGTATTATGTTATGTATTATTGATGGCTAGAAATAATAATGACAAGGTTTGCTCCCCAGATATCAGAGCGAAACTCATCATCAAAGAGCTAGTTTTGTGACGTTTTGTATGTCTGTTGAAGCCAAAAGAATTCAAAAGTGCAATCTTTACCTGCACTGGGTTTTGTCATTCAAGTTACTGTGTAGCCACAATTGATTTGACATGACAGGAGGGGGCAGTGAGCTGTGAATTCCAACACAGAATTGAGGCAGGTAAGGAAAACTTTGTTTTATGGGTTTATGTTAATGGCATAATGCATGAGATCCTGCCTCATAACCAAATCTAAAAGTTCGTGGAAATGCCAGTTCTTGTGTTTTAACTCCAGTAGGCTGCTCAGCCCCATATAATAGCCACTGACTTGCTCCCCCCTTATCTGAATGGGGAAGAATCGGAAGGGTAAAAGTGAGAAAACTGATGGGTTGAGATAAAGACAGTTTAATAGGTAAAAAAAAAGCTGCATATGCAGGTAAAACAAAATAAGGAATTAATTCACTACTTCCCATCAGCAGGCAGGTGTTCAGGCATTTGTGGGAAAGCAGGGATCTACCACATGTAAGAGTTACTTGGGAAAGCAGATGCTGTAACTCCGAATGTCTTTCCCCTTCCTCCTTTCCCCAGCTTTTTTTGCTGAGCACGGTATCATATACTATGGAATGTCGCTTTGGTCAGTTGGGGTCAGCTGTCCCAGCTGTGTCCCCTCCCAGCTTCTTGTGCGCCCCCAGCCTACTTGCTAGTGGGGCACCGTGAAAGCAGAAAAAACCTTAACACTGTGCAAGCACTGTTCAGTAATAACTAAAACATCCCCATGTTATCAGCAGTGTTCATCACAAATCCAAAACATAGCACCATACCAGCCACTATGAAGAATATTAAGCCTATCCCAGCCAAACGCAATACATTGGTGTACAGTTAGCTCATTATTGTATTCTTGAACTATTATTATTTGGAAAGAATTGTTGCAGTTTTGTCACATTAGAGATGCTGCCAACTGAAAAGAAAAAATAAAAAAAAAAAAGAAAAAAGAGAGAAAGGTATATGTTTTTCCTAATAACTTTCAGTAGGAATGATCTAATTTGCTAATCAAAGTGACAGATAAAAGATAAATAAATGTAACCAAAGTATTTTGTTTGTTTTAAACTGGTGATGTAATTTAAACCATTTATGAAAAAAAGAAGTCAGTTGAATTTTGTTAAACCCAGATTTGAAGAAAAGATCCTAGTGGGAGAAAAGAATCCCCCTGGTTGGGATAAAGCCTATGGTAAGGAATTTATTTGCGTGTGGCTTTGTGTTCTGGGAATAATGCCAAACAGAAGTTCTCACAATCTTGATATTTTTGATTCTCTAATGGAGCTGTTGCCTTCTCCCATGCCAAAACTCCGTCTTCAACAGAGTATTCATTTTTTTTTTCAAAGCTTTTAAGCCACCTCCTTTGTTTGTTCCCATGTAGAGGTAAATATGTTTTATGGACTTTTATTGGGAGACTCACTTAATTTCCATTCTATCTTTGAACAAGTCTTCAGGAACATACCATCATTCTTAAGACATGTTACCATCTCTCTGAAATTATATTTATTCAACCTTGCTTTTCCTGGAAACTGTTTTTTGAATCAGTCCTTCTTTTATGGAGAAGATGTAAGTGAAAGGCTTGTTTACAAGGATGCATAGTTACTTTCAAGAAAGCTGTGTGCTCACACGTTTTTCTTATTGCATGAATAACTAAAAGCAGAGGAAGACGGAGCATAGTCATACTGTCATTTGGGGATATTGTAGCCTACTCACAGGGACTTACTGACCTCAAGATGTCAACATACTGTAAAAATAGCTTATAAACTATCCCACAATCAGGTCTTTCTATTTGCTTTCAGAGTCCTGATACATTTCTTTTCTGAGGTAATTGTAGTTGGTAGGAATACTTAAAAGAACATGAAAAAAAAAAGCATGAAATATGCTGTTGAACTTCTGTTGTTGAATGACTAATAACACTAAGTAAGTTCATAAAGGTATTAAATTACGTGAAGTATTGTCCTTATAATTCAAATACCTCAAATTACAGATCCATGAGGTAATATTCACTGAGAATATTAAAATAGAATTACAGAATTGTAGAGCCGCCCAGGTTGGAAGGGACCTTGGATGATCATCTGGTCCAAAGTTTCATGGCAAGGGAAGCCTAGATGAGATTGATTATCCAGCACCCTGTCCAGTTACTTCTTGAAAACCTCCACATCCCTGTGGAGTTTGTTCCAGTGAGTGATTGTTCTTACTGTAAAAAACTTCATTCTTGTATCAAGATGAAACCTCCTCTGGTGCAGCTTGTACCTGTTGCCCCTTTTCTACTTCATTTTGGGTTCTTGTGAAGAGGGGAACCTCTGTCCTATTTGTAGCTGCCCTTTGAGTGAATTATTTACTAAGAAGACATTAAATAGAAATTCAGTCCAAGCAGAACTGAAATATTTAGAGAATCATTTAAGGTGAGTTGTCACTTTCTGTGCACGCTTGTGTATGTCCAGTTTCAAACACTTGATAATCATCTCTGTATTCTCTAAGTTCCAACCTATAGTGATATGATGAAATGTAATTTACAGTTTGTCAAAATACGTTGTTATGAGCAGGACTTCTGGACTGCTAAGTTGTCTTCCAAAAGGTAAAAAGTTTTGTAATAGGAAAATAAATAGAAGACATGATACTGGTAACTTTTATGAATTCACCTTTGTGAAAGTCTGTGGTTACATCAGATACAATAAGATACAGATATTTAGGTAGAACACATACATTTAGAAACCAGTGTTCAAAATACCGTAAAATTGTTGTTGACGTTGCTACCTATCATATTTACATTTTATGTGGATGGCAGTAAACTGACAATCATGTAAATCACTGTACTCCAAACATTTAAATCTGAGAGGTGGCTTTTGTTTGTGAAATATGACAGATTATATAACCTCACAGATTTTTGTAGCATATGTTTGAACTCAGTAAGTTTTTGAAATAGAAAATTAGGGCTTCTAATACTAGTGTGTGAAGCAATTATAATGAAATATATTGGGCATAAACTACTACAATATAATGGATGCGTATAGATTTCAACCTGCAAAGTTGACTGTTTAAAGTAGAGCAGCAGTATACTGGCATTCTTAGAAGTTATTGTCTTGCATTGAATTTAAAAAAAAAAAAAGTAATTTCAAGATTTGGGAGCTGGAAAACAGGATTCTTTTTTTTTTTAGTTGTAGTTTTCACTTAAGCATCCAAAGTGTCCGACAAGATATTTGCTTTCCCATTTTTCATTATAGTACAGTTTACATTTTTTTTACTTTTGTTATGGTTCTGTCTCTGTGTATAGTTTACTGGTGTGTGTATTGTGTGCTGTTCACTCTTGTGTGTTTTGTGATAACTGAAGCATAGTGCATGGGATTGTGCTAACATAGTTTACAAAGTATTTGTGTGTGCTGTAGATACGTTTTTCATCATAGTAGCTGTTCCAGTTGTTAATCATAATTGTCTGGTTTTAATGTTATAAAGATTGTGAGGAAAAACATCGAAACCCACCTGTTAATGGGCGAAAAGGCAAGTTGATTATGATATTGTTAGTGAATTGTGAGTGCTTATTTGTTATGGTTAGTGACCTTATAAAATCAGTTGTCACATTTTAAGGACATCAGTATCTGAATAGCAATGAAGTTCTGCATAAACAAGTTGTTAATGTTATGATCAGCTGCTGGAGCTGTCTAGTAGCTGGGTTGAAGTTAGAAAAGCTTGTGGGTTTGTGCTTACATTTGAAGTCTGGAACTAAATCTTATCTGCTGTATGTGAGCTCTGGACTTGGGCAGAGCCCTTAGCTCTTTTGACTGGGTGCACCTAGGATTATGCAGCCATACAATTGCTTCCCTGTTGCATGACTGGCCGTGCAACAGTGACCTAACATGTAATGAATCCGATATTTTTTTTTAAAACGTTGTGTGTTTCATGATAATGTGGGCATATTGGAAATCCGTGTAAGATGCTGTAGTGTGGGTGTGGAAAGGGAAATGAAGACAGACTTGTGAAGATGCTTTTTGAAGATTGCAGAAGATACCTTTAGGAAGTCTGGGAATAGATCCCAGACTGTATGCATGATAAAGCTTTTGTGGTCTCTCTCCTACCATTACTGATTTGAAACAACACAATTTCTCTTTTTGCACAACTGTCAACATTGTACACACAACACTGTATGCATCTGCCATTTCTGCAGTCTTGTTTTTAAAATAAAGAAGTGAAATATAAAAGAGAGAGCAAATACGCAACTATTATTAGTAAAGTAGATTTATCAATATTGTATGTCATGCATTTGAAAAGGCTTATATGAGCATTACTCTAGCTAAGAAACAAAGTGCATCAAATAACTATTAGAGGAAGTGCTTACACATAGCAAAAATTTGTTATTATATATCGTAGAATCATAGAATGGTTAGGGTTGAGAGGGACTTTAAAGATTTACTCATTATTTATGTATTTGAAAAATAACTCAAACACTCTGTAGGAAGGGAGTCTTATTAAACTGTTGCAAATAGCAGATAAATGATGAACGCCAGTTCTTTGCAAGTTGTCTGATGATTGGGTCAGTCAACTGCCAAAGATCTGAAAATGGTATTTATAAATTTAAGAAGTTACCAAAGCATTTGAAATATCTTAATGAAGACTTTTTTTTTTAATCAGTAGTGATGTTTGAGAAATTTAAAAATAATGATCTATTAGAGTGTAGATCAGGAATTAACGATGATCTTGAACTATACTAGAGGCCTTTCATGTGTGTCTTTTATAATCTTGCCCGTAAGAGATGTGGAGCGAACTGTAGTTCCACTGAAGGCAATGTCAGGTTTACTTATATTTCAGATTAAAGAATCTCAGCAGTTAGGTGACAAACAGTAGTATACATGGATGGGAAGGTTAGATATAGAGAAAATGTCTGCCAAGTGTGGCAGTGACTTTTCGTTCCTTCTAGAAAATATTTTTTTAAATAAATCATATAAACAATGTTGCTTTTGATGTTTAGATACTTGGAATTACTTGTTTAAATAGTTTCATAAAACCAATCTGCGAATGAATGCAGGTACAGGGTGTTAGGGTTTTTTTAAATGAATAAAGGAAACACAGGTTCAACCACAAAGTAAGAATTCATCAGGTGGACAGTTGCAGTATAATTTTAGAATGGTCACATAGCGTGTATGGAACTGAAGAAGAGGTAATTGATGACATTAGGGGGAATTTTATAGTTCTAAATTTGCCGTATCTTTACTACAGCAATTGTTCAGTGTACTGTGGTTTCTGTACATTGATAAAACTTTTTTGGTGTTTTCCTTTTAAGGTAGATAATGAATGTAGCACAGTAGAGTTAACATTCAGTGTTTTCCTTGGAGAATCTTTCTTTCTAATCCATGAAATAGAAACAATGTAAATTTACTGTGGCGGTCACAGAAAAAACAGAACCCAACAAAGTTCATGTGTGCTAATTAGAAACATGTCATTAGAGTTGACTTCACATTTGAATTTTTTCCATCTATTACAATTAGTATTTTGTATTTCTTGGCTGACTGAACTTGGAAAAAATACAGCTTGCTAGCTACTTTAAAATTTCTGATCTGAACCCTTTCCAAAATATTTTCAAGTTAATTTGGTTGAGCTAAATTTTCAGTATGTAATAGCTTCAAAATAAACTACCGAAGTTTTTATTTTTTTCCTAGAATGAGACACACAGCTCTCCCGATAAATGCTCTTGACCATGTATGTTTATTGCAGTGTCACCTGTGGAAGAAACAATAAAACTCTTACTAAAATAACATGGTAAAAAGTTTGGATCCAGCTTTATTTTAATCTCAAAACCTTTCTAAAGTTTCTTTTAAATAATCACCATTAACAATTTGTGCTATTTCTTAGTGTTGTGATTTCTCAGCAGGACAGTGTTGACTGTAGGCCACACCAGGCAGCAAACAACTCTCCATATACATTTTAAATATGCTGGTTAGAATTCTTTATTGCCCCATGAGACTCCAGATACCCATCCCATTGTATTTGTCTATCATCTTCTGTTCTGATTCTCGAGACTGGCTCTCATGCTTTGGGCTATTAAATTAATTTGGACTCTTCCTACCCATGACTCCAGGCCCAAATCTTGAAAAATAAAATCCCATACTAAATAATCTTCTGAATTTTGATTTAGGAAGGAGAACTTTTCTCCTTCTCTTCCTCCAAATGATCGTACTCTGTACTTTCGTCAAAGGTGAAGACTGTTTCATCCCAGGCTGATGTTTGTGGATCACTCCAGCCTACTGTGTGTGGATCTGGGGCTGCATTCAGCCACTTTGATGTTACTTTGAATTGGGGCAGGAAGTTTGTCTTGGTGGATTGGAAATTCACATGCTCGGCAGAGGCTTTCTGCCATTTTAAGTGAAGACCAAAAAGGCCCAACTTCCTCAGTAGAAAATCTGATAAATGGAATTATTAAAATTTTCTTTAGAGGAAAACCCCCCAAACAAAAAACCCCAACAAACAACAAAACCAGAAACAAAACAAGCCCAAAACCTGAAATAATTGTTATGCAAAAAAAGTTTCATGTAAAATGAGAATTTCCCACATATCTTTCACTATCTCATTTTCCTTGCTTCTGCTGAGCATTCTTTGAGTTTTAGTTCAGTGTCTCTTGCAGAGCCTCTCTGTGACTCATTTATCATATGTGGGATTTTATTGGTTTTATGTGGCAATGTTTTGGTAGTGGGGAGGACTGCAAGTGGAGAAGATATCCACCTGCATTTTAGTCATATTTTTCTCTCCCCTATCCAGTTGAGGAGGGGAGTGATCGAGCAGCTTTAGTGGGTACCTGGCATCCAATTTCCATAGTCTCTGTTCTCAGCCCCTTTCAGCTCTAGTTGGCACAGCTGTGGAAGGTTTTCTCTCACTAAAAAGAATTCCTGATGGTGTTTTAAAGACTTGCCCAAATACTTCTCTCTTTGACCCTGCTTTGGAAACTTCTCCTTTTCTTTCCCATCTCTTGACAGTCTAAGGAAAACTGTTTGTACCAAAGTTTCAGCCTTTTTGTAATTCAGCTGGACACTGCCAATTCTCTCACACATTATTCTTGATAATGATTCATGGTGGGCTGCCAGGCACTTCTCTGGGTAGGGTCCCTCCTATGCATAAGAAAGGAAATGCACATGTATGTCTATAGTAATCTGTTTTTACAAAATCCATTGCCATTCTGTTTCTAGGAAGTTAAGCGGAAGCAGTGGAAAGAGCTGTACTGTGATCAAGGTCTCATTTACCTGAGCAGTGCAATGGGATAGGCTTTACCCTGTGGCACTACTCTGCTGAGATGCAAGCTGTGAATTTGTGGAAGAAAAATGATTCTCATTTTTAGTAATAAAACCTGTAAACACGTATGAGTGTGTAATGGAAGGAACTGCCATCCATATACTGAAATCAGTGGGGAGTGGTTTCTGGATATTCCTTAGTTTGAGGAAAATGGCATAATGCAAAAAGACTTCTTTAAAGACTATGATGTACATGTTTGTTAACAGTTTTGGGGTTAAAATTACCAATGGATTTCAATTTTTAGAAAGTTGTAAGAAATTTATTGCTATTGCTTAGATTTCGAGGTATAGAATGTAATTGATGAAATTACATTTATGAGAGATTGAGATAAATTTAATGATTGTTGATTTTTCTGACTTCTAAGGGGGTTTAAGATAATTGCTTTAATGAATTTCGAGAAAATGGTAGCATACTTTTTTATTATGCAATTATTTAACTGTTTCCCCTTCTTTTTAATCATTAGGTGATGCTTTTCCATGGACTATTAGTCTACATCATTTCAGTATATATACTCTTCTTGGGCAACAGATGACACTTAATTTAGTGGAACCAATGGGCTGTACTTCTACTTTAGCTGTCACTTCACAGAAACTGGTTGCTTCAGGGCCAGAATCCAGACACTCGTTTGTTGTCTGCCTCCATGTCGACCTTGAGTCCCTTGAAATAAAATGCTCCAACCCACAGGTTTGTACATTTAATCGATTTATGAAAGGAAATTAAAAATAACTTGATTTAAGTACAATTGTTCTGCATTTTGTGGAAGAAGTTCTCTTCTATCTTATTTTTTTTTAAATCCATCAAGATCAAGGTGCTTAGATTAAGATTTGCTTTGAAGCTCTCTCAAGTTTTGTAATTTAAACTCTTCTCAAAATGTAATAGCTATAGTATAAATGCATCTTCTGGCTGATGGAGTGAAATGAATTGCAGATGTACCATTAAATGCTATTCTGCTGTCACTGTGGATTCATACATTGAAGTGGTTTAATGTAATTTTTTACCACATTTTCATAGAACTAACATTTCTTTGAGCATAAAATGTTTCTTAGACAGACAATGGTATCCTATAGTAACAGGGGAAAAAAAGAAAAGACGAACGTGTGTAAACAAAAGTTACAGCCTCAATTATGTTTATTAAAAGGCAAAGATGTTGCTAGATTTTCAGAAAGTGCACCCTGTATTTTACTGACTTGGATCAAGTTTTCTGTAGTTCCAAATAGAGTAGGATTTCTATGCAAAATTTTGAGTAATCTTCTTTACTGCAACTCAAAACACATTCCTGACAGTTGCAATGTTTCCAGCAGTGCTGAAGAGAACACTCTTCCTCTTGAGAATTGCAAATCTTTTGAGGTCTGAGTAGGGCTTTGCATTCATATGCTGTCTGCTGTGAAGTTTTAGCCACATGTAAGATCTTTCAAAGGATCTTATGGACAAAATGGACTGTTCATTGCTTCACTTAATGAAAAGGAAAAAACACAAACTATTATAATTTTGATCTGATAGACAGCACATCACATTTGTAAAGATTTATGGACCTATCGTCTAAGTCTGGGAATACTAAAGCTAAGGTGGCTGGTGGAATTTTAATGTTATCCTTTGTGTGTACTCATTACAGTATGTTTCTCAGTTGCATGCAGTTTTTCCCTTGCCTCTTTCTGTATTCTATGAATGAAACAAGTGATTTAAACTACGTATTTATTTTATCCTTAATGCGTGGTCTCCCTCCCCGTTCACTGCCTTCCATCCAAGTTTGTTTTATGGCATTGTCTTCTGTACCCAGTGAGCTCAAACTCACTAGACTGAGTGGTAGGGTGAGATTGCTCACTGAACATATGAAATTAAGATTGAGCAGCCTCAACAAGGTCTACTCAGACTAGTAAAGCTGTATGAGAGATGTGTTTGCACACATAAAGGGTTGTTACTGTGTTATAAATGTATAAATAGGATAGGACAAAATTATGATTTTGCTGACAATTTAAAGATATACATTTATGTTTAAAGTACATTTATTTTGTAACTTTGTGGTATTTTCATTACATGTAATGAATAATTTCACAGCGTTTGGAAACCTGCCTTATTCTGTATTAATTTTTACAGAGCTATCAAGATCAATCTTGATACCACAGCTGTTTAGAGAATTGGTAAACATTTCGTAGAAAAAGTTTGCTATGTTTGATCAGTACACTCTCAGTGAAATTCCAGCAAATTATCTGATCAACTCTGCTTTTTTTTGTCTCCAAAAGTATTACTTACGGCTAATATACATAATACATTAATAGTATTAACTTATAAGTGGAAGCCTTATCTAAATTTCAGGTTAATTAAAAAATTAACCTCATATTTAAAAGAAAAATGGAGCAAGTAAAATACATTTTCAAGCTTCAAAGTGTGATAAAACAATTTGTTTTGCAAACTCTGCAAAAATATTTGCACTGAAATTTTGAAATTGTAAGCTCCATGTAAATCATATTACAAGTATAGTGAAGCGTTACTGTGAAGTTGTATGGTAGAGTATCAGACCACATATTGTTGTCTTAAAGGATATTCTTTCCTCTGTACACTGTGATATTATTAATTTACTGAAGTATTACAGTGACCAAAAGGGTAAGGACAAATTGTTGGCATTTAGTGAAGGTTCTTGAACTGTCGTTTTTCCCTTACGACATTTGCCTTACTGGTTCTTTCTGCTTTACTCACGCAAGAGGGAAAAAAACCAACCCCACATCAGTCTTCTTTAACCAGATGTTCAAGAACAGAATATGGAAAATACAATTACATAAACAGCATTTGATAGTTATAAATTCACAGTATAGTACGTAATTTGATTCTTTAGAATGATGGACTGTATTTTGTCTGTAGATGACAGCCTTAAAGTAGGTGATACCTAGTGAATTTGTTGAATGGCAACAAAGGTGAAGTGGTTTACTATATGACTGTTACGATTTAATAGGAAACCATGTTCTGATGATTGTTAATCTTTCAAGTCAAGAGATACTTCCAGTGTGCAAAATTGTCTTGTGTTGTAGTTTTCGATTTTGTAGTAATGTGTTATTTTTTAAGTATAAAATGCTGTAACATATTGAACTTCACAGATTTTTGCCAAGTAGTCAGTGGGGTCTTACTGAGTTATGTGTGATTTTGCTAGGGAGGGAGTGGAAGCAGTCTGAGAGGGAAACTTTTCTTAGCAAGTACTGGCAGAGTTATTCCTATTTTTGTCATACCATTTTTCTTCTCTTGAATAGAGTGTACTAAAAATAATTATATATTAACTGTTATGCTTAGAAATACTTACAAAGGCAAGAGGCCTTACACTTGCATTAGCTCTTCTAATAAAATCAGAAATGGATTTTCAAAATATTGAGACTAATCACTTGAAAAACTGCAGCCAACAGGAGAAGGAGAAATCCTTCCATTTTTACTTTTAATGAGTAACAACTCAACAATGGAATAAAATTAAGTGTATTAAAAATAATCCAATATATAACTTTAGCTTGTTATCTGAAGTTTTAAAATTTTATTAGCATGCAGACTTAAGCCTTCTTTTTTGTTTTCATGAGGTTTTGGTGTGACGATTTTTGATATTTTCTACTTTTTAACATATCTCCATGAAAATTATCGAAGTGTGCCCTTTTTTTCTTGGTGAATTTGTTTTGCCTCTGGTTTCAGAGCAGGGTAGAGTATTAGTGTCATGCTACTTGGTGTCTGGTTGCTGGCGATATTTAGAGAGATGGCTACTGCTGTCTGAAATAGCCACTGCTTCGGAGCGGCTGCAAAGATTCTAACCTGAGCAATTTTAAAAGATAACATAAGTAATTACTTGTTTTAATTATTTTGACTGTTGCAACCTCACTAAGAATTTAGACTCTTGAGTGTTGGATTAGCTGATGACAAACCTCTTTACCTTGCGTATAAGTATGTATATAAACACACAAGCTCCTTCTTTAGTGTTATTTTGTGCCTTTGAGAACAGTAGCATAATTAAATTTCTGGAAGCCCTGCTTCATGAAAACAAGTATAGCTTAAATTATCCTTTGGTTTCTTGACCAAAAAATATTTGGGGGGAGGAGGAGAAAGGGGTTGCTAGCATGTATGATTTGGGTGCGTGCCTGTATCCTGTTAATTTTCTAGAGACTTTTTTGCCAGCAAAGTGTCAACGCCAGTTAATGTTATGTTAATCAATCAATCAGATGGACATTATTAGTTGATCTTCTGGTGTTACATGGAAAAGACTTGGGAAAACTTAGAATTTTGTAATTAGTAATTTAAGGTTACCAGCGCATATCAGAGTGCTGCAGTCACAAAATATTTTAAAGGATAACTAAAAGAACTTTTTGCCATAGCCAGTTCTTGTTTCTCTGTAGATTGCTCTGAGTATGAAGACAAAAAATGTACTAAGAAGTTTATCTCTTTTAAGGAAAAATTATGTCAAGAGAGTAACTGACCTGGTCATTGTAAGCCTTGAAACTTCAAAAGAAAATCCAAGATGAATTAAGAAGGTTTTTATAAAATTCCAGCACTGTACCTCTGAAAAAAGAACTGTAGCATGTATTTTGAGACTTCATCACACATTCTCACGCACAAAATCAAGTACTGTTTTGTATCAAATGTAGATTGACAACAGTGTTTTTCTGCATCTGTTCTGCCCACATAAGAAGCTAGCTTCATAGAGTAGATGTGTCCTGAGGCTTAAAGTTCTTATAAATATGAGAATTTCCATTTTTTATAATGGCAAGTTGGGTATGGTATCCAGCTGTGGATCTGCTTATATATTGTTTGCAGTTTTCTCTGAGCTTGTTTTATACAGTATATTGCAGTGTGTTGTCATACAAATTCCGTGATTAATGCTTATTTACAAAAACTTGTGTAAATGTCTTAGATCCAAGTCAAACAATGTGCAAGTTAAACAGTGTGTTTCTGAATATTGGAATGACATATGCCAGGAGACAATTGAGTTTGATAGTGGATATTTTTCCAAAAATGGAAGAGTTTCATATGCTGCATGCGATCATTATTTTAATACTATTTAAATGAATAATTCTTGTATTGTAAATATGTCATAAAGTTTTAATATTTTCCTTTTTCTTGAGGCAATATCTATACATACGAAATATATGATAAATTATTTTCTTTAATTGTTAAAATTTATATTTGTGAATTTTTACAAGACCATGTTATTGGTTATGGATTTGAGCTACATACCGTATGTTTAGAGAAAGCACAAATTATTTTTATCAAAATCACTATACTGTAACTGATGTTAATTATTTTAATTGCAATGTAGTTGCTTATTAGAACGGCAGCCTCTGAGAGACTGGTTGGACTTGATGATCTTAAAGGCCTTTTCCAACCTAGTTGATGCTATGCTATGCTATAAATGGTGAGAAGTTCATATTTGCTACATTCTAAATCTCAGTGGAGGACTTTGATTTTTCTTCATCTCTTTAAGGAAAGCTTCATCTTAAAAAAGGTTGGTTTTTTTCTTTTAGGTGCATCTTCTGTATGAACTGGCTGAGATCACAACTAAAGTTTGGAAAAAAATTCAGAAAAAAGGAATTCTCTATCAATCATCTGTGTATACGGAAACTGTGACAGGACCTGTTCCTCCTAGCTCTCCAGTTAAAAGCAGTGTTGGTACCGCTCCACCAGACACCAGCACATACAGCCCATCAGCTGATATTGGGACCACTACAGAGGTAGGCTTTTGTAAAAAAAAATAATGTCATGGGAGTTCTGACTTACAAGGTGTGGTGGTGCATGGTCCAGCAGGGATCAGAGGGAGCAGTACTGTCCCTATGGAAAGTAGCTTTGGCCTGATAAATTAATGAAGAAAACTTCATCTCAGTTTAGTGGAACAAGAGGAAGGAAAGGGAAAAGAAAAATCCAAACCAACCAACCAACCAAAACCGAAACAAAAAAAAAAAAAGTTGCTGTATTGCTCCTATGTTTATTATTTGTCTGGATTGTTTCTGTTTGGAGGGAAAGAATATTAACTTTTGTCATTAAATGATAGTTATTGTGTTCGGGTGAAGAAGCATAAGGCATTTTTCAAGTCCAGAATTATTACAATAGTAACTAGTGTTTTGGAAGTACTTGTGATACCTGTGCTGCTTGTGAGTCTTTCCAAGTAGCTTCAGCAGTCAGCCTGTCATGTGGAAGGCAGTCACGAGGATGCCTGAGTCAGTGGAGAGCTGCAGTGCATAGACTGCTGACACCCAGGAGAGGTACAGGGGCAGTGAAGGCTCCAAGGCTGGCACTGTGAGTCACCCAGCTGTATGTTCCCCCCAGGTCCATCCAGTCATTGTTACCTTCCATCTATCAACTACTTCTGGAACTCAGTTCATTCCCCTTTTCCAGCTGTCTGTGACGCATGGGAAGGTGTTCTGCATCTCTGCCAATACCAAGGAAAGAAGGCTAATTCTTTTATCAGCATCAGTAGAGTGGTAGACTTTATCCCTGACTGTCATTAGCTGTGAGTCACCAGATAGCTGATACATAGTGGGATGGGTGGGTCATAGGAGGCTGTGCAACTGAATAGGCCTAGTATTTGTGATTTACTTAGTACCTCTGTCAGGCTTACTAGTTAGAATAATGAGTCAGCCTTGTTTGTGCTCCAGAAGAGAGGCAAAAACGCATGAGATGAAGTGCAGGTGTATCAGTGGTGTGTCATACATATGCAATGCTTCATTCTTAGCATAAAGCTATTAGAATGCAGAGAGACTGCTCTGAGACTGGGTTTCATTCTTAGGATATGCATAATTTTGGGGGTACCTCATAGAACAGTTTTGGAAGACAGGCAAATGCACAGCAGTTTGAACACTGAATGCAATTACATATTCAACAACATTTGGCCAGGATTGCTTTCACCCTCTGTACGGTTTATATTAATTCCTGGGTTTGGAGAAAATTAAATGGTGATTGCTAATGCTTGCTTTTTATATGCATCACACACACACACACAGAGGGGTAAGTGTCACTAGAAGGTGTTTGAGCTTGAGTTTCAGTTCTTAAATTGTTTCACTAAAATGTTTCTAGATTATGTGAATGACATTGGGTTTGGTGTGTTTCTATGTGTGCGTGATATTAATACTGAAAAAATCTACCATGGATACAGAACTGAAGGTAAGCAATAATAGTTAGAAAACAGTATGGTCACAAAAATAGTGGTTTTCCACCTACTCACGTCAAATCCCTTTCTCGTTAATTCAGAAAGCACCAGTTTTATGAACAACAATTTGGTTTTGACCCTGTATATAGACAGCACTATTTGGAGTACATGCTGTACTTGGAGCATTATTTGAAACTGATTCGGTGATTGTTTTAATCCATATGTTACCAAGATTATTTTGGTAATATGGGTCAAAGTTAAGTGTTCATATCCTACCCCTTTGCAAAAATCATTTATTTAATTTTCTTCCTATTCTCAACAAATGTTATGCACTAGCTGTCTAACATTTCTTCTGCTCTAAATGAAGTTTGGTGAATTACCCATCAAAGGGCAATGTTAGAATTTGTGTTCAGTCTTCTCCTCTCTAAAACTAACACCATAATTCCAATTTTTTTCAAATAGAAAGTTGTATTAAGACACATGGCATTAATATTGGAATTTTTTTTCACAGTAGGAGACTTAGACTTGACATAGAATTTCACAACTGAGATTTGAAAACGGGTCTGAAAGAAATGTATCATTGTGCTTAGACAGGATAAATAAATTTAAAAATTGACCATGGTCTGAGGATATTATTAAAGACTTGGAAGAAGAAGGAAAGGTACGAGCAGGAGAAAATGTTTGCATGAAGCCATAGTTCATATGACTGAAAGACTGAGGAATAGATCTCCTATCCATCATCTCCATTCAGAGCTCTCAGCCTAAAATGCTCTGTCTGTAGTTAAGAAGGCAGTCCAGAAGGAAGAGCCAGCACAAGGGATATATAAGTGCACAGGCAGAAAAGCATAATGAGGCAGGTGTCATTTGTTTAATGGAGACAGTGAGGTAGGAGAATGTATACATGGACAGATATTTGAGATTGTGAGAAGTACTTAGTCAGAAATTGAAAATAAGTATTAAAAGGGTAATTTTTATATTGTCAGGAAAAGATTCACAGGGTTGTTCAAGAAGGAGGCTAATATTTTTGGCTTGGCAGCTGAGGAAAATTTTATTCCATTTTTGGTTAACTGGGTGGTAGTATTAGGTGTATTGAGGTGATTAAAATAAAAACAGTATGTAGGGTGTACAAGGGCTTTAATTAACAGTATAAAAAGTAAAAGAGAAATGAGAAGGTTTTGAATTACCGTGACTGAAAAAAAACCCCACACTTGGAGAGATTCTTTGTCATGGGAAGTCACGCCAGAGTTTAGATTCCTGTAAGACTACTAGCTAAAAATTGCTGTGTTTGAGTTTGTGGGTACTATCATATTTATGAGTTTGTGAGTCAATGTTTACAGTTTAAGACCACCTTTGATGTTGGTCTTGTGATTTCTTGAAAAAACTTACTGGTACTGTATGGTGAAAAAGAAGGGATAAACAGTGGAGGATTCCTCTAAATGATTTGATTATTATGGGATGTAACATCCAAGGTTGTCTTGACCTAGTGCTTTCTTATTATTAAAGACAGGTTTAAAACAAAACAAATTAAAAAAAAAATAATAATCACCCCTTCACTCTTAGGACTAATTTCATGTCAAGGTACCAGTTTGAATGAGGGGAATCACCTATTGAACAACCAAGTTAATATGTGGTGGTGCATGGAAGCAGAGGATGACTGTAAAAAGGCATGCTTTCAGTGAACACTAGAGGGGAAAGAAGGCGAGGGCAGCTGAGAATAATGGAGCAGCATTCTACCATTTTCCTGGCTCTGATTTATCCCTGTCTGTGGTTTTGCTGCTAGTTGGAACTAGACCACTCCTTTCTCTTCCCACAGACTCTGAATTCCATCAAGGGAGCAATAAAAGCAGATGAGGCAGTTATAGTGCAGGCACTTACTGGCCAGGAGACCTAACACCAACAAAACCTTGGTTGATTGCCGTCTTGATACTGGCAAGTCTGAAAACAACTTGCAAATACTCAGTGAAATAGAAAAATACTTTTATTTTACTCTATTTATATACTGTGTACTTTATATCTTCACATTTTCTAAAATGTTAGTATTGATTACTTACATATATTCTGATTTTTAGAAATTTTAAGGTATCTAATATTGGTGTAATGTTTCTTGCGAAGAATTCAGTGGGAGTAAATCTAGGTCCATGTTGTTTGATTTGGAAAATATCATCCTGTATTTTTAAACTAAAACTTGTTTTCAGACTATTGTAACAGTATTTTTTTAAATTAAAGAAATAGCGGAGGTAATGTATAAAAATCGAGTGCATCGGCCACAATCAGCCTTGCAGCTATATATTTTATAGTCATTACTGCTGAGCAGCAATGAAGTATATAATTAAACAATAATACTTATTTGTGCAGTTTTAAGGAGATTTTTCAGAAGTTTATCTGAGGCTGTATTTTGTTTATATGTTCCTATATTTTTAAATCTTTTAATCTTGAAGTCTGTCGAACAACAGTACTTTGCTGTGATAGGTGTACTTTTTTCTAAGTTTAGAGACTTTTACAGTTAATATGTTATTTTGTCTGGTGAGAGACAAATGATTATTTTTTGAAGCTTCTTTCAGCTGCAGCAGACTTGCTATAAATGAATCGGAAGAAAACAAACTCTCACAACTGTTTATATTAAACAGTTAAAAAAGTAATTTGTTTACACGATCTATAGATGATTTATATTTTAAGCTCTGTGTAATTCTTTTCATGCTGACAAGTTGATAGTGAGCACCACAGTCCTGTGTGGATAAAGCTACCTAGCTTACTGGATTTTAGTCTGGGTGGTAGTAAGATGGGGAAACATGAGTGAGAGGTTTAAGTGCTGGAGGGCTGGAAACAGTTAATCATTTTTACCATCCCTCCTTGGAACAGCAAAAGCAAAGGTAGTACAGACTACAACAGGCCACTTGTTACTGTTTACTTAAGTACAAACAGTGGTAGAAGTGTTTAGTCCTTGGGGAAACTCAGTGATTGAGCAAGAACGCAGAAGTTATTTTGATAAGGCATAGCATTAGTGTGGCCAAACTGTGATCATCCCTGAGCTTTAGGCAGGCCAAGGATGAAGGCCTCCTATGTTTGGATCTTCCTGATGAACAAAGATATATTCTGCTAAGAAAATAAACTCTGTATATTGGTCAATTTGCAACAATTGGTGAAAGAATTAAATTGTATATTTTAGGACTTGGCATGAGAAGTTGTGGGAAAATAGTTCAGGGTTTCTGACTCTGGCTTGATTTTTCTGTAGATCTGGAAACAGAGCAGAAAATTAATGCATAAACATATTTAACAATATCATGCTGGGTGCTGAAAATCCAAAATGAAAATTGAAACTGCATGAGAAACAAGAGCACAGTCTCTTCTCACTTCAGTTTCTTAGTTTTGCGCTGCAAAAAATTTCTAAGAATTTGACCTTACAAAAAAAAAAAAAAGGACAAAAGACATCAGCTACTGCAGACCATCCGTTTTTCAGCTCCTGCAACTCTGCCCAATGGTTCTGGTTACAGTACCATGAACAGAAGGCTAAGAAGAAATGCAGTCGCTTCATTTTTCAGCTCCCAAAGGATAGCTGTATAGCAATATTTGCCTCTGGAGGAGCATCTG